CCCATAATAATCTCAGTCAGTGTCAATGGTCTAAATGTACCAATTACAAGAAGCAGAATGGCAGGATGGATTATAAGAATGAATCCAAGCTGCTGCTGCCTACAAGAAACACATTAGGAGAGTGAGGGCAAACACAGTGAAACAACCCTCACAAGAAAGAAGGGTGGCCATACGTGTGTCAGACAACAGCAACTATTTAAAAAGTTTTAAAGGTTGAAAGAGACAGAGAAGGTCACTTCTCAATGATCAAAGAACATTATCAATATCACATCAGGAAGCACTCACACTCCTAAACATATATGCAACCAATGAGGGGCCATCCAAATAACTGAAACAGTAGATTTGAAGGAAGACACTGAGATTGACACAGTAATAGCTGGGAGGAAACACAGTTCTGTCCCCTCATTAGAGGGGTTTTGATGAATTCAGTCTTTTTGGAGGACAACATGAGCATTCCTAAAAAAAAAGTTGGAGCTTCTTGTATAACCCACTAATTCCACTCCTGGAATATACCCTATGAGCCCCAAAATACAATGCAGTAAAGACATCTATCTGCACTGCTGACAATAGCCAAGAGTTGAAAACAACCTAAATACCCCTTAGCAAATGAGAAGGCTTAGAAAATATACACAATAGAGTACAACTCTGTAAGAAGGAAGAAAGAGGGAAAAAAGATGAAATCAAGCCCTTTATAACAACACTGATCTATCCAGAGGGAAATAAATCAAATATGATTTCACTAATGTGAAATGAACAAAATGAACAAAAGAAAATAAACAAAAAGCAAAATCAAAACCTTGCACTACAAAAACAAAATAGTAGTCACCGAAAGATCAGGGGAAAATGGGTGGGTTTATTGGGTGAAAGAGCAAATGTACGGTGATGACAGAAACTAGAATTTTGGTGCTGTTATAATGTAGTACTAATACTAACATATAAGGTTATCTACCTGAAAGTTATACATTATAAATCATCATCACTTTAATTTTTTTAAATACTCAAATAATTTTGAAACTAATTTATGTATTAAGAATATTAAGACTGGGGGGGACTGAGGAGATAGCACTGTAACACTGTCCTCCTGTTGTTCATCAATTTGCTTGAGCGGGCACCAGTAACATCTCCATTGTGAGACTTGTTACTGTTTTTGGCATACTGAATATGCCACGGGTAGTTGCCAGGCTTTGCCGTGAGGGCAGGATATTCTAGCTTGCCAGGCTCTCCGAGAGGGGTCGGCCACGTGCAAGGCAAACGCCCTACGCGCTGTGCTATCGCTCCAGCCCGCTACAACAAAGTATTTTTAAAATTTTAAAGCAATAATTAAAATAGCTTGCTAGCGAAGCAGAACCCAGATACAGAAATATTTCATAAAAATTTAAAAGTAAATCCTTCACATTTATGAATCACACATCTAAAAACCTTTATCTATTTCCAAATTTACAAATAGCATTTAGAAACATGCACCACCACACAGAAAAATGAACAAGAATAACTTGGTGAGCTTTCATACAGCCAAAAAAAGTGCTTCACTTACAAAGGCAGCTGCAGTCTTTACTTACATGAACTTATATGGTAATATTTTGTTTTAAAGAGTTTACCACAAAGTGTTTGTAATTCTTGCCTTTTGTTTTTGTCTTGTTTAATGCTTTAAAATCATGTTAATTTGGGACCAGAGAGAGAGTACAGCAGGTAAGGCGCTCATTTTGTTCACAGCTAACCCAGGTTCGATCCCCAGAATCCCCCCCAAACCCACCAGGAGTGATTCAGTAAAGAGTCAAGAGTACTGCCGAGTGTGACTCAAAAACAAACAAAAAGCTACAAAAAAAATTATACTACCCTGTACACTTGTGAATCGGGACTACAGTATCATAATCCCTTAAAAATGAAGCAAACTGGGGGCCAGACAGTACAGCGAGTAGGGCAGCTGCCTTGCATGTAGCAGACCAACACCCCAAATGGTCCCCGAGCACTGCCAAGACTAGGTCCTGAGCACTGCCAATTGTGCCCCCTCCCTGAATAAGAGGAGGAGGAGGAGGAGGAGGAAGAGGAAGACCATGCGTGAGGCTCCTCCGAATTTGTGGAGCATGGTCTTAAGCATGGCTGTGGCTGGAACCAGCAGTCTTCAGCTGCCAGGGATCTGCTCAGGGTGGGGAGGGAAAACCAACCCACACATGAAGGAACCAGCAGAGGAACCCAGGTGTGCGGGACCCGGGGCATAGATCTCCAAGCCTGCCCGGATTGGGACTGGGCCTCCTCCACCCAGATTCCCCATCTTCCAGTATGTAGGCATGACACCCACACATTATCTCGCCCGCACAGCAAAGCCTGGCAAGCTACCCATGACATATTCAATATGCCAAACACAGTAACAACAAGTCTCACAATGGAGACGTTACTGGGCCCGCTCGAGAAAATCAGTGAACAATGCGAGGACAGTGCTACCGTGCTATCAAAAATTAAATAAGAAACCCCCACCCACCCACCCACCTGCCATCATGCAGGCAGAGACCCAGCCCAGTGCCATGTCTCCCAAACAACACGATGCCACCAAATCTTTCCAGAGAACTGGTCCAGGTTGAGAGCTCTCGGACCTTCTCAGAATGGGGGCGGGCAGATATCTCTCTGCCTGAAAAGGGAATGTGGATGTAGCCTCTGACATAGAAAACAGGTCCGTTACACGACTGAACCTCATCAAACTGCCGAAACAACAAATTGTTTCAGAGATAAAGCTCCTGGACCACATGCTGGAACACCTCAGAATTTCATAGAACTGTCAGCCCAGTGGGAGCACAACAAATCTGAAAGGAAAATTATGCAGAAACCCATCATGCTCAATGATACTAACCAATAATGCGGAAGGCTCAACTAGCACCAGCCAGTACAGCAGATCCGCAGACAGTGATTTTAGCAACATCCATGTGAGATATAACAATTATTACAAATTGACTAGTCTTGATCTAAGATTAGATCATTCCATTTGCCTTTGTGTTGTAACAAATACCATAAAGTAAATCTGTTTGCACCTGCAAGAGGGCAGGCTGGAGTTATGGGTGGGAAACTAGGGACACTGGTGGAGGGAGGGTCACACTGGCAGTAGGATTGGTGCTGGGATCAATGTTGTAACATTTTTAAGGCTTGAAACAACTATACAATCAACAACTTGGTAAGTTCATGCTGCTATAATTTTTTAAAGTTTTTAACCAAATAAAAGAAAATGGCAAGTTAATGTTTTCTACATGCAGAACTAAAATACTAGTAGAATTTCAACTAAACTATAACATCTTTCGTAAGTCTTTTCACACTAAAAATTTAGGGTAAAAATTCACACAACCTCCAGAAATAAGTATCAGGACAAGTGGTTTTTAAAAACAAAAGCACCAGAAGTTAGTCTTTTTTAACATCTCAAATTCAACAAAAGAATTTTCCGGGGGCTAGAGTGATAGCACAGTGGGTAGGGTGTTTGCCTTGCAAGTGGCCGACCCGGGTTCAATTCCCAGCATCTCATTTGGTCCCCTGAGCACTGCCAGGAGTAATTCCTGAGTGCAGAGCCAGGAGTAACCCCTGTGCATCGCCAGGTGTGACCAAAAAAGCAAAAAAAAAAAAAAAAAAAAAAAAGAATTTTCCAGAGCCTGAAAGAAAATCCAAAGGAACAGAGTGCGCGCACAAAGCCCCCCACCCCTTACATGCCCCCCCTCAGGATTTCCAGTTGTAGCCCTGAAAATCGCTGAACAACACTTCTCATTGTGACTGAACCTCTGGGCCCACCTGGGAGCAGTTTTATTGCTAGAGTGGCCCCTGGTACTCTGCGAATAACACCAGAAAGCCCTCCCCCACCCCCTCAAAGATGAACTTTCCATAAAGGCAAGGTATCCTACTTATTCGCTTCAGTAACCCAAATATACTGAATATTTACTATTTTCAAAGTGAATGGGAAAAGGTGGCTTTTGAAGGTAATAATCCCATACATTTTCATAAACTACTGCACAATCCTCATCACTAATCACGAACGACTGACTGAGGAATTTTGTTGTCTGTCGTTTGCTTTGAGGGGTGGGAGGGACCCACATCAGGTGATGCGCAAAGGCAACTCCCAGTTCAGTGTCCAGAGATTGCTCCCACAGATGTTTCGGGGGACCACGCAGTGCCAGGGATCAAACCCAGGGCTCCAATGGCGAAGCATGTTCTTTGAGCTATCTCCCTGTTCTGGCTGAGCTTTTAGTTTCCACAGGACACTTTTGATAGAAGACTAGAGAAAAATGACTTAGCGCTGAAGGATTGGGGGGGTGGGGGGGAGGGGGGCTGGAGGGTGCATCATGTTGTTGTTGTTGCTTGGGCTTTCTGCAAGCAAAACATACACTCCAGCCCTTCCATCTACAGCCTGGCCCAAAATTTACATGATTTCTAATTCAAGGTGGGCTGAAGCGATAGCACAGCAGGTAGGGTGTTTGCCTTGCACGCAGCCGACCTGGTCGGCCCAAGTTCGAGTCCTCCGCCCCTCTCAGAGAGCCCGACAAGCTACCGAGAGTATCTCGCCCATATGGCAAAGCCTGGCAAGCTACCCCTGATGTATTCAATATGTCAAACACAGTAACAAAAAGTCTCACGATGGAGATGTTACTGGGCCTGTTTGAGCAAATCGATGAACAATGAGAGGACAGTGCTAATTCAAGGTCACCTTTCACCATTTGTATGTTTGCTCTGCTGGTTTTACTAGAAAATATTATTTACATGCATTCCATCCTTTGTATTTAGGCTCACGGGGCTCCATCTGGTGGTTTCAAAGAGTCACACTAAATCTGAACTAATTTAATTATTCATCTTTATCAGAAGGAAGCCCTGGAATCCAAAATTTAAATATATATATATACGTCTAAAAAAGAAAAATTTAAGCCAAGTGTTTTTCACTTAACATTGCTAACTGCTAACATTCAAATTTTGAATTATGAAAATCTTTTTAAAACTGAATTAAGAACATGTAAATAATAACCATAATAACCTACCATGGTTCTCTATAGTATTTTAGCTTCTTTTTCCGATCCTTTCCCCTCTTTCTTGTCGTCTTGGCTAGACACTGTTTTGTGTCACAGTACCTCCTCATAAGCCTGAGTCCCTGACAGCTCAGAGTCAATACAGAAAGATGTGTGAAGACTTGTTCTCTGGAACACACCTGCACGGGAACAAAAAACAAAAAAGAAAACCACATTTACTTTCACATTTGAGTATGACATCCATTAATGTCATTGATAAACTGGAAACAAGCTCTACAGAAGAAAATCCAATTTCAAACAAAATGCTAACACATCCCTTGAAAGAGGAACCAAGTGACCTGACAAAGGAGTGATGCCCCTAATAGTCTCCACATGACAGCAAGCTGACTTGTACCGAACATCTTCTTAAGAACAATGACAAGACTCTCTAGCAGAATCAATGTGCAATTAAGCAACAGAGGTAACAATTGACTTGAAGATTTTCAGTTTAAGCAATGGAGTTGCAAAAGTCCGAGTGTGAGTACACTTTATCTTTGCATGCAGCACAGCCAGGTGTGTTCCCCCAGTACCACAGAAGTTCCCAAGAGCACCACTGGGAGGACAGAGCTGGGAGCAGCCCTAAGCTCTACCTGAGATGCAGCTCAAAATGAGAAGTGCAGGAGAGCAAGTCTTGTAATTAAGATAGGGAAGCCAGTTTTAGGCACGTCAATTTTAAGATATTCTTTAAATATCCAAGGAAGAAATGATACAGAGACAGAGAATTTAGAAGAAAAGTCTGGAAGTTATGATATAAATTTGCTTTTGTTGCTTTTTAGGTCCGAAAGCAATAAAAGCACCAAGGGAACATATGGACCAGTGAATGAGAAAAGTAGAAGCAGCTGCACAACTGCATTCAGAGGCATGACCTGAGAACAAGCGCAAAACGAGAACTAAAAGTCGAGTCAAGAAAGCTTGTTACGGAGGCCAGAGCGATAGTACAGTGGGTAGGGCATTTGTCTTGCACGCAGCCAGCCTGGGCTCAATCCCCAGCATCTCGTATGATCTCCCAAGAACTGCCAGGAGTAATTACTGATTGCAGAGCCAGGAGTAACCCCTGAGCATCGCTGGGTGTGACCCAAAAAAGGAACAACAACAACAACAACAACAAAGCTTGTTATAAAGAGGCCTGGGAGATAGAATGGAGGTCCTGGATGGAGTCCCAGTCTGCTGCATCCAAATCAGATTCAGTTCTCAGCACAGCATACTCCCCTGAGCACCCCTAGGTGTGGAGGGCATCAGCACTGCTAGGGAGGCCCAGGGAGGCCCAACACAACAGGGCATGGCAGCATCACATCCCTGAACCCTCAGCCTGGCCTACTTAGAACCACCATGGAGCCCCTGAACCTCCCGAACTTGGGAGGACCCAAAAAATAAAATTAAAAAATTTATAAAGGAGATAAACATGGTATGATCTTTATACTGGGCTGGTGTGATAGCACAGCGGGTAGGGAGTTTGCCTTGCACGCGGCCAAACTGGCTGACCCGAGTTCGATTCCTCCGCCCCTCTGGGAGAGCCCAGCAATCTACCAAGAGTATCTCACCCACATGGCAAAGCCTGGCAAGCTACCTGTGATGTATTCGATATGCCAAACACAGTAATAACAAGTCTTACAATGGAGATGTTACTGGGCCCACTCGAGCAAATTGATGAACAACGGGAGGGCAGTGTACAGTGCTACAAATCTTTATACTAAAAACAGGAAGGGGTAGGGGGAGACAGAGAGATAGCACAGAAGGCAGGGGATGGCTTGTATACAGCTGACCTGGGTTTCACCCCGTTATCCTATATGGTCCCCAAAGCCCTACTAGAAGTGATCCCAACGTGCAAGCCCTGAGCACCACTGGATGTGGCCAAATAAATAAATAAATTAAACTACTGGCCCACATCCACAAGAACAGAACCAACTGGTGCTGGTGCAGATATGGCGAGAAAGGGACCCTCTTTCACTGCTGGTGGGAATGCCGACTGGTTCAGCCCTTTTGGAAAACAGTATGGGCTATTCTCAAAAAATTAGATATTGAGCTCCCATTTGACCCAGCAATACCATTCCTGGAAATATATCCCAGAGAGGCAAAAAAGTATAGTCGAAGTGATATCTGCACTTGTTTGTTCATTGCAGCACTCTTTACAATAGCCAGAATCTGGAAAAAAAACCTGAGTGCCCAAGAACAGATGACTGGCTAAAGAATTTTTGGTACATCTACACAATGGAGTACTATGTAGCTGTTAGAAAAGATGAAGTCATGAAATTTACATACAAGTGGTACTACATGGAAAGTATGTTAATAAAATGAGTCAGAAAGAGAGGGATAGATATAGAAAGATTGCATTCATCTGGGGAACATAAAGTAACAAAATAGAAGACTAACACCCAAGAATGGCCGAGATTAGTACCAGAAATTTTGCTCCATGGCTTGGAGGCCAGCCACACATGCTAGGGGAAAAGGCAGCTCAGACAGAGAAGGGAACATCAAATAAAAGGTGTTGGGAGGATCCTCCCAGGATGGGAGAAGCATATTGAAAGTAGACTATAGACCAAACATGATTGCCACTCAATGCCTCTTTTGCAAACCACAACACCCAAAAGGAGAGAGAGAACAGAGGGGAATGCCCTGCCACAGAGGCAGGGTGAGATGGGGGTGTGGGGGATGGGAGGGATACTGGGATCCGTGGTGGTGGGAAATGGACACTGGTGGAGGGATGGGTATTTGATCATTATATAATTGAAACCTAAGCACAAAATGTGTAAGTCTACAACTGTACCTCATGGTATCTCACTAATAAAAATTAAAAAAAAATTTTAAACCAGAACAAAAATAAATAAATAAATAAAATTAAACTAGTAAATAAGAAAATAAAACAGGAAAAGCAATACAGGGTGACACCAAAGTTCCTGAATACTGGTCACTTTATTGAGAATGCTTGTAATGCTTCCAGATACCTGTATCTAGAAGTCTGACATACTACTGTGTAAATCAGTTCTGCCATGTTTTACCATTCTCAGGAACTTAACTCCTACATTATTCTAGCATACTTCTGGGCCCATTTGGGGGAATATTTTTAACCTGAGAATGTGAAACCTCCCTTTCAAAACTTCTAATTCATTTAAATGAAATTATTCATTTCCCAAGAAACAGGTATTCTATTTAGTACTCATTTTGCACCAAGGTCCTCCATAGGAATAGGAAAATGACTGTTTCCAGGGCTATACTGCAATGCACTAAGTTTTAAAATTAAACCTTTCCCTTACTTAAGACTACAATTTTATACATAGTTTATCATGGTTCTCTGCATCAAGTACCCACATCAACCTGCCCCTTCATAAAAATTCACATATACCTTAATACAGATTTCTTCTTCATTGAGCCATCCCTTTTTCCTTTAAAAACAAACAAGCAGGACTCAGGGCTAGAGACAGTACAACGGGCAAGGTGCTTGTCGTGCACAGGACAGGCCTGCATTTGATCCCTGGAGGTCCATATGGTCCCTGGGCCCAGAGCCAGGAGGAAGCCTTAAGCACCACAGGATGTGGTCTGAATTCCCCTCCGTTCCCCCCCAAAAAAGAGTTACCCCAGCAATACAGCCTAGCAGCAAGGGCCTGACTATTCAGACCTCCGCCCAGGGACAAGCATGGGTCCCCAGGGCTACATCTGGAGTGTGGAAGGGGTGGGGGGGATCCAGTGCTCGGGGTCGGGACTACATTCAATTCCTCACACATGCTAGGCGTGTACTCTAGCATGGACTTCAGCTCCCTGACCCCCAATCAACAGTTTTTATCTTATGACATTTCTATTACTCAGCACGGCTTTTAACGAACTGAAAGAATTGCTTACATCTTCTTCACAGTACCTAGCACTATGTTCTTAACTCAGAATAAATTAAAATTTGGATCATTTTTAAGTAACAGGGACTTTTTTTAAGCGCACAGGACCTTACACATGAGGCATGCACTCTAACACTTAATCCAATGCACTGCCTAAGATTTATCCTTTCTAATAGAATATAAAAACTGCAGAACCTAAGGTTCCATCTAAGAGCACAATTAGTTTCTCCCCCATTTAGTTGTTCAGGGAGTAGCTGGCTGGGAATTACTCATGAGAGTGTTAAGTGATGGGCTGTGTGACTACAGTGGGCTACTGGAAAATAAATTAGAAGCTGATTTCCTCAAATACCCCAGTGATTCTCGGGAACTTCTGAGCTTTTCTGTATCAGCATAAATATCATTACTTATGGATTCATTTCACCAATTTTGAGTTAGTCCCCCAAAACCTCTACCGTTCCTTTAAACACATGCATTCTTGGCATAATTCTTAGTAATTTTAACAACCACATGCATAATCTTCTAAATAATCCTAATCTTCTAAAATTTTGGTTCTTGATTCAGACCCCACTTAATGCCACCTTCTTGTACATACCCAAGGACATCACTCCAGTGATCATCTCTCCTGTGTTACTTTCCTGGACCTTTTCTCTACCGAAAGTCCAATACTCAGCCCACATTCAGGCCTAATTCTTTCAGCTACACTTTTGATTCCCATTTCCTCCCTGCTTACCTTCATTTAACCCCAGCCAACCTCTCACCCCAAGGCTACACTGAAGAAGTAGGTGTTTAGGTCCTTGAGGATGAGGACTTGCATTGTGTTTACTGTGGCAAACAATTCTCAGTCCTCATTAACAGGTGCCGCACAACAGCCTGTTATAGAAACACTTACTTCCTTTGTCTCCCATCTAATTTGCCTGGTTCACCTCCCACTTCATAAATCACTCTGCCCTAGCCTTTCTTTCTTATCTGCAAACCTCTAAACGCCAACCTACCTGAGAACTCAGGCCTCACAGCTAAGCTCTTTGCTATCTTACACATGCACTACCTCAGCCATCTCTTATCTGCGCTTGAGACCTTAGATGGCATCTATATACTAAGGAGCCAAAAATGTATATATCACCAAGTTCTATATTCACGTTCACTTCATAAGCAACAGAGTCCTCTAGATGTCAAATGTATCTTAAAGTTAATGTATGCCAGGTCAACTCCTTCCTGTCCCCTCAAATGACAAAAGTAAAATTAAACTTAGCTCTTCCTCACCTTCCCTCTATCAAGAGATTTGGTAGTTATAACATCTCTCTTCCACTCAAATTCGC